TTCCCGATTTTTAATATTTTTTCTAGTTTTGAAGAAATAAAATATATGATTATAACTATGTAATATATTATATAATATAGGCACACTGAAAATGTTTGGATGGTGTGGCGTGCCATATCTTTGATAACACTACAATGTTAAATAATTTGAAAATTTTTTTGAAACTAAAAAAAAACATTAAAAATCAGTAAATTAATGAAAATAAAATTTTGAAACTTCAGTATTTTCAAAAAATTAACTTTACAAAATAGCTAGTCAATTTTTTTGGAAATAATTAAATAAAAAAAATTTTTTTTTTAACTTTTAACAAAAACATTAAAATAAACTAAAATATGAAATAATTGTAGTTCTAATCCCTGCGAGTCGTATTACAAAACCTGAATAGCTCCATTATTTCAGGAGATATCGCAATCGGTAAATCCTCAAGGAACACACTCTATATATTATAATATATATATTTATGCTCCCACTCAAACCTATTCTTGAAGAAATAAACAATAATAATAATATAAATATGTTTTACCTGTAGTAGGTTCATAAACTGCAACGTGCATGTCTGATTGTTGAGAACTTTCATCATGATCTTCAGGCCCGTCACTCTATTAATAGTAAAATAAGAATTAGTTGACATGATTATTAGAGATTTATGAAGGTATCAATTAAAAACTCACCTTCTTCTTTTTTTTTTGTTCTTCTTGTTGCTTACGCTTCTGTTCTAATTTATGTTCTTTGACCATCTCAGTAAGATTTCCAATATACTCATCAGTTTGTGAGAGAAGGAAAGCCAAACGTTTATCTTTCTTTTGATCAATTAATTTTCTAAGAAAAAAAAAAGTTATAGTTCTAAAACTTTTTATGAAACAAAAATAAATGAAGTTTTACCTATAGCCTTCTTCATCTTCAGCCATCAATCTTCTCATACGCTCTTTCTCAATTCTTTCTTGTTCTTTCTTTTGTTCCCGCTCCGCATTGGCATGATAATTAAGAACAGCTTTATTGAGACGCCCAATTTTTGCAATATTATTTCTATGATACTCTTTAAGATCTTTGCAATGTTGCAATATAGTGCTTAGATATTCTTGATGTTTTTGACGTTTCTTTCTTTCAGCTTCCAATTTCTGTTGTTTTTCTAATTTCTCTGTTGCTCTAGCTTCTCTAAGACCTTGTCGTTTTGTTCTTTTATATGCTTTTACATTAACAGCAGTTTCTAAGGTTGTATCACGACGAGTACAAGCAACAACTTCAGCTCTTAATTGTCTTTGGAAATTTAATACTCTTAAAGCTCTAAGTTCAATTTCTACTTTGATTCGTAGATCATCACTCATTGTTGTTGGCAAATTACTCAACTGTTGTACACGATGAGCAATACGTGCAGCCAAACGGTTTTCACGTTCTTGTAATATTATTAAAGGATCCAAACCAACAGGTTTAGGGCACGATGTAGTTCTATTTTGTTTAACTGGAGGAGGAGGACCCTGTGCTTGTTGCTGTTGTTGAGAGGACTGTTGTTGTTGTTGTTGGTGGTGTTGTTGTTGTTGTTGTTGTTGTTGTTGTTGCTGCTGTTGTTGTTGTTGTTGTGATTGAGGTTGAGGTTGAGGTTGTGGTTGCTGCTGCTGTTGTTGTTGAGGTAGTGATTGTGGTGATGGTCCATTTGTTGTGGGCATATTGGGCATATGTGGTGGTATACTAGACATTTGTTGTGGACCACCCATCATAGACTGAGGGACTCCTCCTATAGGTGGTTGACCAACAGGTTGTGGGGTATTAATTTGCTGTGGAGTTTGAGGTATTCCTGGAGCCATACTAGGAGGTGGTTGAGGTCCATTCATTGAAACAGGYGGAGGTTGGTTTGGTGGTGGACCTTGCGGGTGTTGTTGGGCATTTGGGGGTGGTTGAATTTGTGTTTGTGGGGCTGAACCAGGCTGAGGCATGCGAACAGGAGATTGTGGAATAGGACCAGGAGGATTGGCTTGTCTGGGGGAATTTTGCATTGGCATTGGTAATCTCATAGAACCTCCTGATGGCATCGGCATACTGTTTTCTACAATTTCTCCAGGTTCTAGTTGCCGATGGTGTGCTGAAGGTACTGGTGGATATCCTTGAGGTGAATTTTTTCCTTGGACAGCCATAGCTAATTGTTGGGTTAAAGGTTGTTGTCGAGCCAATAATCTGTATGCCATTATCTGTACTCTTAGCTGTTGCATTTGGGCAGGAGTTAAATTATTTTGGGCTACCGGTCCATTTGGTCCATTAGGATTTGAGGAATTCTGTTGAGGCGAAGGTGGTTTATCTGGATGTTGAGGAGGATAATTTCCCTAAAGTAAATTATATTTTCAATTGAATTATTAATATACATTTTAAAATGGAAGTAATTAAAAAGTGGAAATTAATATTGATCAACTTACTTGTATTGAAGGAGGTCTTTGATTTGGGTCCATATTGCCTTGTCTCGCTCTTAGGGCCAATAATTGAGAGTACCTGGGATCTTCTTGCAATCCTTTTTCTTCCATTGAATCTATTGCCCTTTGCAATGCATTTAAATTTTCTTGAGGAGGTCCACTAGACTATAAACAARTTATTTAATACAAAATTATGAAATATTTACTGACTTGTTATACTCATTAAATACATAGATAAACCAAACATAAAAAAAAAACATGCAATTTATAAATAATGATGAATAGGTACCTAGTCACTTGTCTCATTTAAAAATGATTTGAGATTGAATCTCAGTAAACAAATTTTATATAGAAAGATGAAACCAGATTTTGTGTTAAAATGTAAAATTGAACGACCTGTTTACGATTACAATTCAAGTATATAAAAATGAATAGTGAATGCTGTAGTATGAACATTTTGCAGCCAACTTAAATTTGTTCATAAATATTTTACTAAGTAATACTTAGTAAAAAAATTATATTTAATTATAAAATTAAACTTTAGTATCTTTAATTAAATGTTTTTTCTAAAATTAAGAAAAACATATTTAACTATTTAGGTACCTATAAATAATGTACTTCTTTAAAAATAAACTATTGATTTCATTGGTGGTAATGAGAACAAAAACATATAAATTCTAATGTAAACTATATTGTGTATATGTAATTTAAATAATGCATATGAGTTGTCACTCAYATTGTTGAATTTAAAGATTAAATATAAAAATAATAATAAAATACTAACAGCATAGTACAGACCTACTATCGATATTTTATTTACTAATATTTTCAATTTATTATTTTGGTCACACTACATAAATCTTAGAATGTGTTACATCATACATCATTTTTAAAGATAAGAAATGATTATTTATTACACTTAMTAAGTGAAAGTTTAAATACTTTTCTTTTTTTTGATTTTCAAATCATTTATGTGACACATAAAATAAATTATTAAATTTCAAYGAACAATTTAAAACTATGGCTGATATGCATCAATATTATAGTCATGCACTTAAAATTGTTTTGGAGGCTGGTGAAGTATGTTTCAGATTTATTTTTTAATGTTTCAAAAAGTAAGTATATTTTATCACTTAACATATTTTTTTTAGTTGTTGTTAAAAGGTTATAGAAGCTCAAAAGAAATATCAACTAAAAAACATGATAAGGACTTTGTAACGCAATACGACAAACTTATTGAAAAGACAATAATTGACAACATATTACAACTATACCCAAATCATAAGTATTAAACATTTATTCATTATGAAKATTATTTATAATCATTCATTATAAAAAAAATGTTGTATAGATTTATCGCGGAAGAAACTGCAGCAAATAATATTTTAACAGAAGAGCCTACATGGATACTTGATCCAATTGATGGAACAACTAATTTTATACAAGGTTTTCCATTTTKTTGTATTTCATTAGCATTGGTAGTAGAAAATGATATAATAATCGGAATAGTCTATAATCCGATAATAAATCAATTATTTACTGCTCAAAAAGGAAAAGGTGCATATTTGAATAATGAAAAAATACAAGTATCAAGTACTGAAGGTAATTAAAATAGAACAGACATTTTTTTAATTTAAATCTTAAGCATAAATTCACCTACCAAAAGCTTGTTTTTAAAGATGGAGTAAAAGAAACAAATATTTTTTTAAATACTTTTTGTTGCATTTGAAATATTGWATTGCATAACATTGACATTCAAATGATGAAATGATTAATAGATAGATGATGCACATACATAGTTATCTCTATCTTACAAGTGGCAATGTACAGTCAATATTTTACATTTAACATTGTTAGTTGAAATATTTATCTGAATTGACCTACTATAAATTTTAGAGGTTATATGAAAGTTTTTTTTTTATATTACAATTAAAAATTAATAACATTTTTGAAATGTAATATTTCACATAGACATAACTTGCTTTAAAATCATAATTTATAAACCTCAAAGAGAAACAGATCATGTAATTACCTTTAAAGGTAACACTATGTCAATTCTAATATTTAAAAAAACAAAACCAATTAAAAACTGCTGAGTATGAATTTGCAAAATATGTTGTTTTCTAAAATCAAACAATGCGCTACATGAAAATTGTTAGTTAAATTTATACTTTTTTATTCACCAACATATATTTTTATAATATTAGTTAATTTCAAAAACATCTGGAGATTTGKGAATTAAAAACATTGATATTATACAATTTATTGGCTTACGCTTATCCAGAGTCTAAAAGAGTTTATCTATTTTGTTTACAGATCTTCAAAATGCCATGTTTGGGCATGATATAAATTATAAAATTAGTGTGAGGAATTTTCGTGGGTAAATATACATTTTAAATTATAGATTAATATTTTATAGTAAGCTTATTGGCAAAGCACGAGGTGTATTAAATATTTCTATGGTTGGTAAGTTACTGTAAATACAAATTTAAACATTCGTACGGGAATCAAAACCTCAACAATAGTATGCTTAAGAGGACGTGATACCCGCATGTGTTGTCTCCGTCTTACAAATGCGTAACATGGTACATTTTTCGCTCAGCAGAACACGTGTAGCACCGTTAACTTAAAAATTAGAGTGAACTGACCTCTCATAAAATTTAAAGGTAAGATTATTATCTAGACAACCTCATATGCTTTTTATTTTATATCAAATTTAAAGCGAGTTATGAGTATTTTAAAATTGTACATTTTTTGTGCATCTTAAAATACTCATAACTTCCTTTAAAATTTAAATATAATAAAAAGCATACGAGGTTGACTAGATAACAATCATACCTTTAAATTTTATAAGAGGTCAATTCACTCTAAT